GTGCTGGCACCAGGGAAGGTGTCGGGTCCCGGCTGGGTCCCTCCCGGCGCTTCCCCGCGTGTCGGGACCCGTCGCCAGCTCTGCGCCCGGCTGAGCCCCTCGGAACGGGGAGAGCAAATCCCGACCGAGGAATATCGCTTGGCGTCCCGGTGGAGACACCCAGGCTGCCCTGAACACGACGAGACGCTGTTGGAACTGGGAAACAAACCTTCAGCAGCACAAATAAGTCACTTAAACTATTGATTATTTTTTTTAATAGTTTTTTTCTTTTCTGACCTGGGTTTCAGGGAAGGCTTTTTTCATGTGGCAGGAAATAATCTGCAGAGGGAAGGGGCAGTTGCTTTGCGGTTTTGGGGGGGGTGCTGTGTTTTTGGGGTTTTTTTTACATTTGATTTTTTGGTCCTTAAAACAGTGGTTTGGAAAGAAAGAACTGTTGCTGAAATGATTGACACCTCTGACAGCGCTTCCCTCCATCAGGAACCTGATGGTGGTTCTGCAGAGGAGGAAGGAGTTAATGGTCTGGAAATAGGCATGAATTGTTCTCTGAAGAAATAATTCTTTTCAAGTCATTTTCTTCTGAATTTTATGCTGTGGCTAACCTTCCCCGCGCGGGGGCTGCTCTGGGCAGGGACCCGGGACTCCCAAAGCCCCTGTTCCCACTGCTGGGACCCCCGGGGTCCCCCCGGGTTGGGGGGTCGGGGGCACGGGGCTGTGCCCGTCCCCGAGCCGGGCGGGGGATGGAGCTGCTGCCTGTCTGTGCCCAGGACCCCCGGGCGCGGGCCGGTGCCCTCCCGGCCGGGTCGTGCCGCTGGGAAGGGCCCGGGGCGGTGCTGGAGTGACTGGGGCAGGGTTCTCTCTCCCGGGCTTGTCTCCCTGCTTCATTTCTTATTTTTCAAATTATTTTTTGTTATTACGGCGTGGCTGGGTTGTGTTCGCTCACCCGAGCTCCCGCCCTGGCTGCTCCTCTACGTCGGGGGTTTTCAGATGGGCGCTGTCTCCGCGGCTTATTGCGCCCGGGA